AATTCTTTGGATTGAGAGGAAGCTGGAGATTTTTGGAAAGGGCCATTTTCCTTCCTGGTTTGGCAGATCAGCTGTGGACTGTGTGTCTCCAAGGTGGGACTAGGATGAAATGGGCATTCTGTAATACTCATCAGCTTGGCACAGATTTAATGTTTGACCAGAAGTGATGCCATAGCATTCACTCTGCAGAAGAGATGGGTTCCAAACAACCACTTGCCTCAGAAGGAATTTCTGGTACTTGTGAAGGACAGCCCATAGCGTTCTGCACAACTTCTACAGCATCTACGTTCCCCTAAAAGGCCATTATTTGGCCAACAAGCCACTCAGAGTGGGAAGAGAAATCAAGCAACAGTGAGACAGATGAAAGGTGAGCATGGCATTTACTAAAGGAATCCACAAGTCAAGGAAGCCAAGATTTGTGTGATAGCTATGTTCAGACGGCTTTGAAGTGAGCTATGGGACATTCGGTTCAAAGAATGAAACTAAACATAGTCCAAAGTAAAACTACAAACCACATATAGTGGAAATATCAGGAGCCTCAGCAGTTAATTCAGCATGGCTTTGCTTCACCCACCTGCCCAGGCTGCACCAACTTACACATTACTGTAGGCATCACTGACATTGACATGCTGCAGGATAACTATCTTCAGTCAGGGAAGATCAAGTTCCAGCTGCTTCTTCAGACTTTTATAGTGTCATTTGGAAGTCTTTTGTGTGGAATGTGAAAACCCCAAGACACCAGCCTTTGTAAATTCCTGATTAGTCTCATCCTTTAAAGAACACTAATATTGATATTTTTGAAGAGCTACCCCAGTGACATCACAGTTAAATCTTTCTAGGACACGCACTGAAGAATGCCATTTGAGATTTAAATAACATAAGGAAAAATCAGCATTAAAGAAGTCTAATACACAGTTTTATCAAGATAATGTTGCTTTACCAGACAAAGAGGATAAAAAGTTGGGTTGTTAGTCTCAGTAGGATTTTCTGTCCGTATTCTAGTTTTGATTCTAAATCAACTCTGAGCAAAAATACCTTGAAATGAAAGTCACTATTTCTAGCTAAGAAGGAATTAATCATTTTTCAAGGCAGGAGGCAAAGAAAGAAGATGGAGTAAAGCATAAAGATTGAGAAACACTACTAGAAACAGAACAATCTTGGTGATTCCTCAGTGATATACAGGAGATACGAGCAGAGCAAGACAGATACACACATAAATCCAAATTGGCAATGGCTAACACAGCAATTTCAGAAGAAGATGCATTTAGGGTGGGTAATCATGGAAAAAAAACTTCCTACAGAAGAAATTACATCCTAGCCCATTGTTGATAACCTGAAGACCACCTTTCTCGTCCATGTCTTTGTAATATTCAATGTTGTCAGAGGCTTGGGGAGGTGTTGGTTTTCCTAATCCCATCATGATACTGCACTCAGAAATTATTTATTACAGCACTGAATTCCACGTTAGCTGTGCGTTGTTGTTGAAAAGAATCACATAGACAGAAATCGTACTGCTTCTGTGTATATGGTCTGTCAAGCGTCAACAACTGCAAATAATATGAGTCTCAAATTCTTCAGACTTCTTTTTGGCAAGTGAGGTATTCTAGAGAATACACCCAATGATGTAAACAGAAGGGTTCTTTCACCTACCTAACAACTTGTGCCTTAATTTGTGCCTTAATTTGAAAATGGTAGTATTTACCAACACAATCAAGAAAATTGTTTTTAACTTAACAGAAGCCGTTGTTCCTTATCTCTTCCAGGTATCTTTACATTTCCCTAATACTACACAGATTCAGTAATATTTCTAACAGAATTTGTGCCTCCCTTATCTTTTCCTGCCATCTCACTACTGGAATCAGAGAATGCCCCAAAACTTTCACCTGCATTCCCATTTCACTGGCTTCAGTCCAACATTGTAATCCTCATTTAAAGGCCTATAACAGGCATCAGTAAAGAAAAAAGACCAATCAATACATTCTGGAAGACTGTTATGTCTTAAATTTGCCAAATTCCTCCTCTCTGCATTTGGAAGATTTCATCTGTAACAACATATAATTAACACACTCAAAATGCAACTGTATGCACCACGTACAACTTCCCTTTAACTAACTGTAATTCTCAAGACTTTCCAAGTGTGAAGACAGTATAGTTGTACAGCATATCAACACAAACTGATCTTGTCATTATTTACAATGCTAAAGAATTGCTGAAATTGTCCTGCAATCCTTCTATTCCAGTTCTGCTAAAAAAAAAAAGTTTCCCACAGGTTGGGCACTAAACATCCGCAAGCTTCCAAAGTTTCTCTCAATTTTTTATAGTTTAGTGGTGCTTAACTTCAAAATTGCAGCATTGCTGTAGCTCTTGGATCTGAACAGCAGTGCAACAAGTAAAAAGGATAGGGATAATTTGAAAACAACAGGCTTCCTGAGTACATAGCTCAAGCTATCCTACCCACCCTAAGGAGCCTCATCATCTTCAGCCAAGCAGCTCTGTCATTCTTTTCATCCATACCATGAGTTTGATCCTGGAACAAATGATCCAACCTGCTACACAACTCTGTGTCTTCCCATCCTGTGATCCACGGTTATCCTCCATAACTTCTGGTATGTATAAACTCCACTTTTACTACCAAAAGGCAGAAGAATTCCACCATTTCAAGTGCTGATCTCTTGTAGAGACATTTTGAACAGTCAATATCTCTGAAAAGACATCTCATTACACTGTCAGCTTACTGGCCAGAAAGACTACTAAACATTTGTTGGATGCGATGCGGATAGTTCAAACAACAGCCTGAACACAGGTACACACTCTCAGGCTATTTTAAATTGGGAAAGTAACTCAGGAAAGAAGGCAAAAGACTTCTTTCCCCACCAGAAGGTTGATCAGCTTTGGTCATATGTCTGATCCGCACTCATGCTGATCTATAATGACACATTCAGAGCACTGGAAGTCTATTTCAAAATGACAAGATACAGTATTTTTAGCTTACACTGAGCAGACTAAGAAGGCAGTGACAAGCAGTGACTGAGGGCTGTGAGCCAAACACCATCACCCATGCTCCACAGTGGTTTTGGAAGGCCTTTTCTCAAAGTCTCTCCTACTGCCTACCAGATCCAAGACAAAATACACCAGCCCACGTCTCTCCCATTTGCAGCAGATCTCTTTGAATACCTTTGTTATCAGGTGTCCAGTAGTTACCAGGTAACCAAGTTAAACTTATTCCACACAAGTGGACTAGAAAGCTTCAACAGACAAGATACCAATCTCAAATCCTGCCTTTCACTTATATTCGTTTTTGTTTAAGAAGAGGAGCAAACTGTAGAGAACTCAAAAACCATATTTAGGTAGGACTCAGCTACCAGTAAGATTACAATGAACTTCTGAATGAGTTCTGCTACATCTCCCCAGAAAACTTAAACCAGTTCTTCCATTCCATTTGGTAATGCTGCTGTAAGAGGAAATGTGAAGGAAAGGATGTTTATGTCAAACAGCAAAACTTTCTCATTCTGCACAAATCTGTCATATCCTAAAACATTTAATAGGCCTATAGAGAATATAGAGAGACAAACTTAGGAGACTTAATACCAACATCAAGCTTAAAAAGCAAAATAAAGGCTACTTTTCAAGTGCTTTTCAGAGGAAATTTCTAAAGAGAGAGTCCACTTAAGATAATTTACATTAAAATGTTGTATTATTTCATTAAAATAAAAAGTGTGTATTTTTATATGTATATGTATGTATAAACTGATTCCATATATACATATTATGTATATAATACACATGTATTATATTTATGTATGGCACATGACACATAAAATTGTAGATATAAAATTACAAATTTTTATATATATCATATACATAAAATATATACCTATAAAATAAAAAACAAAATTAGATAAGGAGCTGGGCCCTTTTACAGTCTTCCGATTTCTTTAAACACTGAAGCTTGTTGTTCTAGATCCAGCATACTGTATGGTAACTTCCAAGTTCTTTTTTGGACTTGGTAAATCAACAGAAAACTGGTGAGGAGTAAATGTTTTCTATATTTTCCTTAAAAGGCAGAGTGCAGTACACGTTTCTCATTTTTTGTAGCTGTGCGACTTCTCTTTTCTTGCAACAGTCGAATAAAACCCTCACAAACTTAATTACTGCATTGTGAACCACATTTCATGTTTTAAACCGTAGATTTAAAAACTGAGTCTGATTCCAGCACTTCTTCGTACTCAGCGTTAAGTGCAACTGCTACACGTAACTGGAAGAAAAAAGCCAGCTAAACAGCGGAGCAGCATGAAGGCAAACCACCCAGCTGACAGCTGTGAGAGCGGAGAACGAATGGGGCAGACTGCAAACACCCATGGTGGCAACACCCCGTGGTCAGGTATCAAGTAAATCGGTGTGGGCTGATGAAGAACTGGGTACTCACTGCCCCAGCTGAGGGTAAGCTACCTGAGTTGATGGGGAAGTGGAAGTCCACAGACTTTCCAGACAGAAAACTGGTGCAGAGAACCCGCACTACAGCCTCCAGTGGGGCAGGTGATGCACCTTTCTTTAGAGCTCCTCCCTCTTCAATGTAGTTTGGTTTTACACTCAATTATACACAGCAATAGCCAAGGTACACATCTTCCTTTCCACAGAACTGTACTTTTGTTCATCGTAGCAAGGGTCAAGTGACTTGACTAATACTTTGCTTTACCTTTTAAATACAAATTAAGAACTGTTGTGGGGCGGGGAGGGGGGAGAAATCCAATAGAGAAAAGTTCAAACTTTAACCAACTAGGAAAACATTATTAAACTGTAGAAGAAAAAGAAGAACTAGAGGAAGATCAAAACCCCTTAGATGCAGTATAATTGGGTACAGTTAGTGAAGCTTATAAATCAATAGTGAGCACAGCAAAAGGAATAAACTAGCAAGGCAGACCTTTTCTACCTCTCTAGTATCTACCTGCTATGCAACATTTAATGCCCATTTTCAGTAACAAGGTTATTCTCAAATATACCTGTTCAAGAAGTTCCTTATATGTTATCTTCTCTTTGGTATTTGTTACAGGACTGTCATAAATAATGGCAGTTTGGTCTCCTCGTCCATTCTCAACATGACGATCTACAGCATTGTAACACATATTCAGCTCTCCACCTACAAACCTAAAAAAGAAATTGGAAGTATGTAACAGCCAGCCTTCCAAACCAATAAGACTATTTTTTTGCATTTTATGTCTCTTTTAGTATTGCAAGCATTCAATTACAATATAGCTCATAAAATATTATGAGTTATTTTTTTATTCTATAACCTCGTAATTTACTAAAAAGCTAAATAAGCTTTTTAGTGAAAGTACTGTACCTTAATTGATTTAACTAAGAATCTGCTAAACTTGGTCTTCGTTTAACTTACTTTGCATCAATCATTCTGATTTTTATAGCTAAGGATTCACAGAAAAAGCACACATTCACATAAAATAATCTGACATTATGAAAATATGTTATTACACTACTTTGTATTGGCATGCACACATATCCTTTTTAAGAAGAACAGGTTCAGGACTCAAAATATTCTTATTCATCTCTTGGCAATAACAGTGAAGAATACAAGCATCTATATCTAAATGCAACTGACCCCAACAGTTATAAAATCTTATAAATTTGTCTGACATTCATAATGCGTTTGACATTACCATGTTTTACATCAGTGACTCAAAATCCCCTGTAAAGCGATGTGAGTCATAGTCTCTTCAACAGCCAGGCATTTACAGAAAATTCTCATCTTCTAATTAAAAAAACACACTTCAAACTCATGTTTCATTTTTATTGTCATTTTACACAGAAAAAGAAAACTCAAGTGCAGCACAATCCTCAAGAAAGAAAATACAGAAGGCATCAGATATAAAGATGGCTCTACTAACCGAAAGATGACACAGAATCTAGAAATTGAAGTTACAGTAAATAATGTTCTTTGTGTTTGTTTCTCTGTCTGCATCTATCTCTTTACAGCAAAAAGAAGAGCAACACACAGAAGAAACACAGTTGAGAGTTTCCAAAAATTTCTATGGGGACAGTTTATTGTGATAATGTATTGTTATAACATAACTAGGAATAAAAACAGATGGCCTAAAGTAACCCAGTACTAGTTAAAAAGTATTTCCTTCTTCACCTTTCCTATCTAGTAAAGGACTGCTCTAAATTAGGGTATTTTATATATTATTTGTACATCCATATGTACAGATGCCATGGGATAGTCTTCATCGTCAAAGAATGGCAATAATTAAAGCAAAATCAGTTAGGCTGTTTAGGATGCAGCAATCTTTTACTGCGATTCCTTTACAAGGCCATTAATAAGGAGAAAGTGGGGGACCATAAAAGTAACAAAAACACTCTGTACTACAAACTCCTTGCCATAAAAGAAGAACTGTATGAACAATGAAGGACTGCTAGTTGTTTCATGTAGTATAGAGAAACTCTGTATTACTGTCATAAAAGTTGTGTAGGATTCGGGTGATCCATTGATTTTATATCAAATCACTGTAGGATGATACGAACAGGGGAACAAGGGAGCACAGTACCTGGGCTACTATGTATAAGAATGGTCAAAACATGAGCAAGCACCAGAGCTTTGATTCTTCTAAAGATACACGGCAACATCAACACTGTCACATAAATTTTTAACAATCACTTGCGAACAAGTATGTGAAAAAGATGTGGTTGCAGGCTGAAACAAAAAACAAGACTACCTGGATAGTGTGATGAGAGCTTTGCTATCCCGTTCAGAAGGGGAAGGCTCTTATGGAATCAGAGAAGCAGAGACGTACCTACCATGACCACAACTGCGAGACTTTCACTTCTCTACTGTCACCCAAAGACATGCTCAAATACCTCATTTTGGCTGACAAATAAAAGCTGCTTGGCTCTGAAAAGCTGCCCTGTGCTGCTGCAAACTTCTGTTGATCCAATGATTCTCAAGATGATGAATACCTGTGAGGAACTTTGATTTGCTTGAATAAGCTTTAGTTGGAAAGAAACAGCAGCATGAAATCAGGACCCAGTTGTGGAATAATGATATGAATGGATGTTCCTATTTGAAACAGAGGTCTAGAATCAAAAAGAAAATATTCCAATAGACTGCAGAAAGATCAGGGGTGGATCTGCAGGATGTTCCTAAGAGCTGCCAGTAAATCTTGCCATAATAAGCAGGACTGTAAAATGCTAATCTGTTGCTAACCAGACAATTATCTCATTCTGGCTTACCAACTGAATCCAAGTCTGAAGAACCTTATTTTAGGCTGTGTTCCTAATGCTGAGAAATTAATAACATTCAACAAACAGAGTAGAGGAAAACAAATAAAAAGAGTAAACAATAACAACTCTAATATATAAAAGAAACTGCATTCAGTTTACTAGCAGTCTCTTTGAAGTAAGCTCATCTACCATCCACTGGTGCTATGGTGGAAAAAAAGTTACAGCGTTCTTCCTGTCAAAAATCACAGAATTTAAAACTGGTTATAAAATCACAACAGCTTGCTTCATAGCAACATTTCAAACCAATATTCTGACAATATCTACCTACCCTTTTGATAAGTCATTTTTCCTGTACATCCATGAAAGCAGCAGCCTTTGATAACCCACATTATACATAACTTAGATCTAATAAGGCATCATTTTAATAATTTGAGTGTGGTTACCCACATTAGGAGCCCGTTGAGCCTCGTTAAAGCTGCCTACAGCAGTCAGCTAGAACTTACTGCCTCTTCATGACTGGGGCTCAGCACCTCCTGTCTTACCCCAGCCCGGAGGTCTCGCAGAGTTTCTCTTGTTTCACTAACAGAAATCTCAAGCACAGGCACTTACCTCTTTAATCATACTTTAAAATGACTATTCTATTAACCTTTTAGGGGTAGGAGTAGAAGAGGACACAGAAGTGCTGATCTTCTGTTCATGTTTCACTCTTGGCAAGTCAGTTAGGTCTTTCATAGTGGGATTCCTGTCACATACAGCTTAACATCTACCACCTATGGCCTGGAAATGTTTTTTTTTTATTGCATTCAGTATTTTTTTTGGATGTAACAACAGCCTACTTGCCAGTAATGACGTAAGTATAGTAGTGAAGAAGGCAAAACATAATTACAATTAAGAATAAAAAAGAAAGTAAAGGCTCTGAATAAAGCTGGCATACATGCAAAAGAAAAAACTACATTAAAATTATTTTGCACCATAACTGTAAAAAAAGCATATTGCTATCCTTTTATGCCATGCAGGGTACATATACTTCTCCAAGCCGGGTTCCCAGGAATCAAATGGATTTCTTTTTAATTTTTCTAGATGAAGAGATAACAGAAGCTGAATGTTAGACAAAACCACGATAATATTAGATATTTTGAGATAATATTATGTCAATTGATTTTTTTTTTAAAGTGTAAGGAACATTTGAATAGAATGTGCAATGCCTCTAAAGTTCAAAGGGGATTTTATATTGCACTTATGTCTTAGAATCCAAGAAAAAACATAACTTGCAAAATTGCCCTGTGCCTGCACGCATTAGGAAACATTGTTTCCATATTCCTAAAGAAATACTTGGTTTAACCTAACTGGGATTCCACAAGATACCAAAATAGGTTTAATCTAACTGGGATTCCACAAGATACCAAAATAATCTGTTCAAGTGTTTCACTATCTTTAGCATTAAAAAGATTTTTCTTTCTAACATCTAAAATCTACAACTCCCTTGTTGCCATTTAAGACACAGTTTTGACCTCTTCTAAGCCAATTTGAAGGATAGTTTTTCCTTCAACTTTGTAGCAAAATTCTACATGTTTTAAAACTTAGGTTTCCTTTTTGGTCTCTATACCAAACAATTTCAATTCCTTCATCCTTTTCTTGACCAATCATGCTTTTTTGCTCTTCTCATTATTTTTGATGTGGGCAAAACCAGGCGATGTTTTGCGCCATACCAGCCACTGATGCAGGTTAGAACAGTCAATGGTACCTGGGATTACTGCTTCAACAAAACAGCCAGGGGATGGTGACACTGATCACATACCTTTTGGAAATCATTTTGCATCCCATTGACATAATATTGGTATTTCCGATGGCAGAGACTAAAGAAAACACACTAGGGCATGCTGCAAGTTTCTTTCATGCCCTTACAGTATTTAGAGAGGACAAATTGGCATTTGCCTTATAGCTACATTTTAAATATGTTAACTGCCTCCTTCAGTTTCCTCAGCTGAAGTAAACCAGACTGGAAAATATATGAAAAGCTTCTGTTTCCATAAGTCTCAGGTTTGGCAAACAAAAACAAAGATACTGAAAAAAAACTGATATTTATTAAGTGACCTAATAATATGTCTCCAAAACAGGAGATAAATTCTAACTCAAGAAGCACATACATGAACTTCTTTATACTATTTTTAAGATCTCATAAACTGCTTTCTAGGTAAACCTCAGAACCAGAACTACATCTCTACCCTGTTAGACCAGTGAGCTATGTTTTTCTTGGAGCCTGGCCTCTTCCTCAGTTATGTTCCATCTTCTTTGTCTTCTTGTCAGCATGTCCTCTGACAGAGCCTCTTGTATCCTCTCTCTCTCTCTCTTACATTCAGTCTTTTCCTCAAAGAACTTCTCTATCTGTTGTCCTGCTGAGCACATCGAATGCTGGTCACCATCTGGGACTCCAGAAGCATTACAGTACTACACTAGTATCATACAGCCTATTATCACTTAAGGTGAACTTAAATTAAAAAAAAAAAAGAAATAAAATTGCATGTTGCACATTAAGACATTAAAGAGGATTACATAAACTTGAATTGCTTAATGTTTTATTATCCATAACAGAGCAAAAGATACCTGACATCCAAGCCATAATTAGGACCTGATGTTGAGTCTTCAGAGACTTGAATCTTCATATAATCTCACAGAATCACAGGCTAGTTGAGTGTGGAAGGGATCTCTGGAGGGCACCTGGTCCAACTACCCTGCTCAAGCAGGGCCATGTGGAGCCAATAGACCAGAACCATGCCCAGATGGCTTTTGAACGTCTCCAAGGACAGAGATGCCACAACCAACTCTGCACCAGTGCTCAGTCACTCTCACGTTAAAAAAGTCTTTCCTGTGTTTCAGTTTGTGCTCATTGCCTCTGGTTCTGTCACTGGGCACTA